CTCCCTTTAAATACTTTTAAAATTTATATATTTTATTAATTTATTATATTATTTATTATAATTAAATTAGTATATTTTAAACATTTAATTTTTTATATACATGTACTTCCAGATGCCTGATACACAGGAAAGATGCTACTTGGGAAGTTGCTGCGGAATTCGAAGAAGAATGGAATTACCCATACTGCATGGGGGCCCTGGATGGGAAGCACGTCCGTATTAAGAATCCCGAAAAAGCTGGATCACTGTACTATAATTACAAGAATTTTTACAGCATAATTCTTCTGGCCTTAGTAGATGCGAACTATAAATTTCTGTATGTATCAGCTGGTGACATCAGCTAGTGACTGTATGACAACAGTGACATTATAATGAATGTCACGTCTGAAGACTGTCCTGAACCAGTTCGAAGGTCTGGACGTAACAGGAAACCACCTGTACGATTTAGTGACTATGTGTAAGACCTCCCATGACGGTCTTAATTCAATAGAGTGTACTGATGTTCGTTTAGTAACATATTGTTCAATGTTGCTCGTTTATAGTTATGCATTCTAGTACGATCTTGTAAGGGAGGGAGATGTAAGATAATTGCAAAACTTTGAAGTAATGTTTATTCTTTGTATGTCCAAGAGGTGGCGCCACTAGTCGAGGGAGACTTATGGCGGGACTCTAGACTATACACGCTGTTGTAACTGCGTCTGTGTGATTCAAGTTTATATGAACAATATATTATGTAACAAGAAAGACAGTTGTTGGAATCTTTACTCTAATGTCTCAAGAACACGAGATATATAACATTATAGATTCACCTACTTGCGCAGTGGCAATGGTTTGTGGATAAGTGAGGAGCTCGATATCCCGACATCCTCTCGGCGTATATGTGCAGTAAAGCATATAAAAAAGAGACACCCTTATCCCTGTTATGCATATGTCCGCTAGAACGCACCGGCATTGAATATAAAAATGATTCTGTTCTTACAATATATATATGTATCAGTGTTATGCCTAGGTTTAATTTGTTATGGGAAAATAGACCCATTGACTGTCATCTTAGTTGGTCAATGAACCGCCATAGGCGGTACACGCGCAGCGGCGAGGTGGGGAGGGGTGCGGGAGGGGGCTGATGTGGAGGGGGCAAACTTTTTGAAAAGAAGAAGCTCTCTGGTGCATACCTTGACTCTCTACTCTCACTTTATGTAATCGTGATCAGTAGAGCGCTTGTATCTGACAGTTCAAGCGCTTTTCTGACTATCTGACTGTTAGTCTGTTTATATTATACATGCTCTGAGTGGATATTATTCCACTATATGATTCAACCAATTGAATTACAGCTCTTTTCGATGTGCGCTAGCAACATAATATCGAGATAGGCCGAGTCAGAGATCGTATCGCATGGAGAAAAATACCAATCACACAAAAATCACAACAATCACACAACAACACAACAACACATCACAACACATCAATGTGTCAATTAATTGACTCATTTTTGCAATAAAATGATGGGTCAAACACGATTGTGTAGTACCATTGGCGCAGGGCGCGTACCTAGGCATAACACTGTATATATTATATATGTCTCATTTTTACAGTACAGCATTGTGGATGTGTAACCATGCCACGGAAGTACGTAGAAGAGGAGGATTTAAAAACAAAAGACAAGCGTCCATGTTCTGGTCTGAGAGCTGACCTCTTGGCATGTTTGATGGAGAGTGACTGTGTTCAAAAGGTTAATATGAGCCTATAATAAGAACGTCAAAAAACTAACTGGCTACTGTGTTAATTGTCATATTTATATAATAAATGATTATTTTACACTATATATATTTATATATACTTTTTATGCACAGTAGTTTTTCCATTGTGAAAATTATAAAAATTAATATCGTTTCAAAACTAGAATAATTTCATTGTGGTTAGAGTAATCTCATGAGACAAATTGACTATTTTTAAGGCTATGTCAGTAGACTAGAAAGTTTATATATATATTTTATGGTCATAAATTATCAGGTGGCATCGATAGTATTTCGATTCACTGCTTCCCCTAAAGCTCCCACAGACATAGATAGAGGGGCATAATGAATGGTCATTTATTTGTATCTAGGACAGAAAAACTCCAAAAGACTGCCTGTTGTCAGGAAATAATCCGCGTGTGCCAATAGAATGCCACCAACTACGTCAGTCATTCTTTGAGTGCAAAAAATCGCTGGTGAGTCATAGGAGGAAAACTTACGGGTACCAGTGAGTTACCAACAGTTGTCTTTACTTTCACCCTACCAGTTGTCCGGTTGTTAGCTTCTATGATCTAACTCCATAGCTGTTGCAGTTCAGCAGCATCTTTAGAAGTATTCTATTAGGTTATTAAGTTCCTCGATCATTTGCCATATTTTGCACATAAAACACAATTCTTGCACCCATATTTGAATCTTGAAATATTATATATCAATATAAATATATTTTGTATCCTCTTTTATTGTGCCTAGATTGACAACCGGCAGAGGTTTAGAGGAAGGAAAGGCTACTAGGAGAATTTGCTGCTGAGTGATAGCCAACACAGAATGTCTTAAGCCAAGTGCTAACCAAAAATAGCATAATGCTAGTTGTATTCTGGCCAGCCTATAATGTCCTAGCTGTGAACTAATACAATATAGTGCTGCAGCTCAAAGCCGTGAAAGGAACAGGCTATATGTTATGGTCATGTGAGCATATATGCTCTGGGTTGGGAAGTACAAGTCTATGATATGAATCGACCATTTAATTACCCATTTAATTCATGCAGTTATAGCAAGGTTATAATATATAGCAGCTGAATTTTTTTTTGTCTAGCCATTTATATTGTTATGAAAACAAACCAAATATTGCATATAGAATATCATTAGAAGTGGTTCCCATTTGACACTTAAATGTGTGGATGCAGTAGTTATGTTTGATATCAAAAGTTAATAAAATCCAAAATTTGTTTTTATTTACTCCGACTCTAATACCTCTACCTTCTGACTCTAATACTGAGTCGGTATTTAGATAGTAATCTGCACTTTTATTACTTCGAGCAAGGTATAACAACGTGCTTAACACTGTTGGGCATACCAGTTCGGCAGTTCCCGGAGAGCCTCCGGTAGGCTGAGGATAGGGGATACGCAGGAGTGGAAGTTGTAAATGGACGGTGGAGATTCAGTGAATAAATAATTGTAGCATTCTTATATATGATTTCTCTGGTGTCATATGTCGTGCACGGCCGACAACTTGGTGTCAGATGGGTACGAACATTTCATGAGCATCGTCAACGCATGAACTGCTATCACACTCGTGATATAAACAGTGCACAGCCTTTGAAAATGATTCGGCTCCGGCGAGTGGAAACTATTCATTCACTATTTCATTATGATTCGCCCTAAAAGACCGGAACTGAAACTAAGGGGGAGCATGTCGGAGAATTTAAAAAACTTTGAACCGAGATTTAACGAATACTGCATACAAGCGGGCTACAGAGACTTGGAGAAAGACCAGGTCACAGAGCAAGCGGCTCATTACAAGAATCGTCAACTTGAAATCTCGGCACTAAGGTCTGCCATGCCGGACGAAGCACTACAAGTAATACGCTACACAATCGAGCCACAGATACTAGCTGATGACAAACAGAAGCCATGGATATGGATGGAGCGTTTACATAGTCACTATGCGGGCTCAACTGGTAGTTGTCTTAAGGCCGACAGATTTAAATTTTGGAACTCTAATCAGGGCACCCACGAAACTGTACAGGACTGGGAAGTAAAGGTAAGGCAAGCAGGTTCATTATGCGAGTACGAAGCACTCAGTGACGTCATGTGCCACGACAAATTCGTATTAGGTCTCATCCAGGAGTCAATGTGATCAGAACTGTTGAAATCTCACCTGAAACCGGACAATACTCCAAAATCTATGCTAGATGTAATATCAGAGGCCAAGACCCTTGAGTCTGCACAAAAGGCCAACAAGCTAATCGGCGACCCCTCTAAACATATTGAGGAACAAGTGAATTGGACCAGTCACCAACAAATGCAATTAAAACGCGAACGGGCACCTGCCACTGGTGTGGGGATACCCGTGGTTTCGGGCGAGGAAGATATGACCGGAAAACGGCCAAACTTGTACAAAGTGTGGAGGAAATTATCACTTCGCTAAGGTATGCATGGAATTCGCACAGATGTCACAGGAGAGACAATCCAGCAGAGGGCAAGGTCGGGGCCATGGTGACAAATTTAGAGGTAGCTGGGGTGGGGATACCCGTGGTCGAGGTCGAGGCAACAACAGGTTCAATAGAGACTGCGACCAAAATGCATTCACCAAACGAGATGTGCATCAATTTCATGGTGCAAAGGAATAGTACACTGACACGCCCGAGCAGTATAGCGATGAGTACCACGTACAGGCGTATGCACTCGAGGCACAAGTACACAACGTCACAGTACAGCCAGCTATGAAACGGTATTTCGTAAACCTCCAGATGTCCAGCACAGGGTCAAACTTCACTCCAGTCGTTTCAAATTGACACGGCAGCGACTTGTATCACAATATCGGACAAAACTCTAGCAACACTACAGCCAAGATCCGACATATTGCACTCGCCACATTTGTTGTATCCATATTGAAATTCAAAGCCGATACGCCCCTTGGGACAAGCAGAACTGCTATGTGAAAGACGACAAATTCGAAACACTTGTGTTTCAAGTTTTACCCGATGAGGTAATGGAAGACAAGCCAGCACTACTATCTGGGAAGGGCAGCAAAACCCTTGGCCTGATCACAATTCAAACTGATGAAGTATTTTCCCTGTCGAACACAGTAACAGACGTCTCCGATAGACAGCACAATGATTTACCAGGGTACAAACTTCACCCTCCAATGCAACAGGAAGACATTGCATGCGAGTCAGAATTACAGTTGGCTCAATCAGCTCTACTATGCAACTATGTGCAGCACAGCAACAACAACTCTACTCTACAGTGCATGCCTGCGCCAGCACCATCAGCCCAAATCAAGGAACCAGCAAACAGAGTTCTACCCCTTCCAGGGCAGCTACACAACAAGGAGCAGATACTACAACAATATCAGAAAAACCTTGGTGGTCTAGGCTGCTTGGAACCGCCTGTGTCTTTTAAGGTCAATGAAAAGGTAACACCCGTTCAAATGCCAGTCCACAGAATCCCAGTGACGAAGAGAGAGAAAGAAAAAGCGGCTATTGATTGCTACGTTCAAACCGTAATTCTGGCAAAAGTTGATGAACCTACGTTATGGTGCTCAAATGAACTGATCAGAGAAACACCGGAGAAGTTTTGGATATGCTTTGACCCTAGTCGAACTGTAAACAAGGCCATTAGAAGACAAATCCATCAAATGCCGACATTCAACGAGCAGCTCCACAAGCTCCATGCACAATGCCAAATGTTTCTCCATTGCTGACGTTCGAGATGGGTTTCTGCATATACCTCTCGACGACAAATCATCCCGGATGACGACCATGCACACATTGTACAGCCGGTACAGTTGGCTTCGTCTACCATTCGGGATAAACAGCGTTCCTGAGGAGTTTCAAGTGAGGCTACAGAGCGCCCTTGAGGGGCTAGAAGGAACCTTTGGGGTAACGGACAACATACTCATTTACGGGGAAGGCTGCACTTATGAAGAAGCTGAAAAAGACCATGATCGTCGCTTTATCGCGCTGATGGAACGGTGCTTACAAAATAACATTAAGCTAAATGCAGGAAAATTGCAGTTCAAACTGCGTAAGGTAAAGCTCATGGGCAATGTAATTACCGACCAAGGTATGAAAGCCGACCCAGACAAAATTCTTGCGATCATGCAAATGCCAGCTTCTCGTAACAAAGCCGGACTACTGAGATTCATCGGGATGATCAAATATCTAGCTCCATACTGCAAGAACCTTAGTGCTACAATCCATCCACTCCGAATGCTCACTCGAGATGGTGTTGCATTCACGTGGTCAACAACACAAGAACAGGCATTCAATGCTGCAAAGAACTGCAAAGACTATATTGAAGAAGCCCCTTAACAAGGCACCAGCCAGACTCCAGAAAATGATCATGCGCCTGCAAAGGTACACATGCAATGCACTCTATAAAAAGGTCACATCGCTCTATTTGGCCAACACTGTCGCGTGCTGCTCTACCTACACCAGTATGTGCCAAGGTAACATGATTTGAAATTTTCCGTCTAGAGATGGAAAAGGGACTGGAAGAACTAAATCCCCGTCTTCGAGTAGACACCGAGTCACAACTGCATGTAGAAACTGGCAAAGATCCTGTTCTATCAGATCTGTACGATGTCATTACTCGTTGGTGGCCAAAAGAAAGCTCGAATCTCACAAGAACGCTGCGACCATACTGGAGCTACGGGGACGAACTCGCTATTCACAACGGCACAATATACAAAGGCCCCCTTGTTTTGGTGCCTCAGTCAATGCAGGCAGAGATTCTTGAGAAAATTCACATAAACCATTTTGGAGCTGAGTCCAACACACGCATGGTGCGGGAGGTTGTATTTTGGCCGGGAATGAGGAAATCCATTCAAGACATGTGCGACTCCTGTGGCATATCATGTGCGCACAGTATGGTCAGACGGCCCCCCAAAGAACCTATGAAATTTTTGCCAATACCCACACTGCCGTGGCAGATGCTTAGCCAGGACTTGTTCACATACAACCATCATAACTATCTATTGACTGTCTGTCATTTCTCTGACTGGATCGAGGTAGATTTACTACCAGACACGCTCTCGACAATATCGATTGTCAAGACAAAGTCCTACTTTGAAAGATTTGGGATTCCCAAAATCTGCCACACCGATAATGGGCCACATTTTGTCAGCAAAGAGTACAGAGATTTTGCAACGGAATATAGATTCAAACATACAACGTCATCTCCGTACTACGCAAAGGGAAACGGAAGAGCTGAAGCTGCTGTAAAATTGTGCAAGTCAATGGTAAAGAAATGTGAGTTTCGACTGTGCCTTACTAAATTACAGCAACACACCACCAAAGGGACACACATGCTCACCGACTCAGTGCATGCTCTACAGGCGCACTCGCACGCTACTACCCACGTCAGACGCACTGCTCAGTTCCAGGACACTGCTCTACAAGAGATTAGAGCCAACCGATGCAGCAGTAAACAACACTATGACAAGTCTGCTACTATACAAGTCTACAAGTATACATGATGAAGTAGAGGTCGGCTCATTCGTATATGCGAAACCACCGCCACATTGCAGAGGTAAACCATAGCAATAAAGCAAGGTTGTACAGAAAGACAGTCACAGATCGTACACGGTGCTTACGCATGGCAGTACAATAAGGAGGAACAGAATACATATTAGACCAGCCGCACCGCCACCATATACCAGTACCAGCTCGATGACAACGATTGCACCATCAAACACCCCTGCGATTTTCCCATCAGGGGAGGACAAATTGCTAGAAGGACCGCCAAAACTCCTGGACTAGGACCCCAGATTTGATAGAAAGTGCAGACGCCCCAAGTACTTGTGATGAGAAGACAAACAAACTCCAAAGCCCAACGAACTTGGTGCTGCCAGAAATGCCCGTCATGTCGCTCAACCGGGGTACTATATCAAGCTACCAGCCAAATACAGACTTTGTGGTCGATTTGCCTGGACAGTGAACTGTCTTGTGAAGAAAAGAAACATAGTGGTTTCAAATCGACACTATATGGACTGTAAAACATTTACAATCGTGATCAGTTATAGACTCAATTGTGTTGAATTTCGTTATGTACATGTGCAACAAACGTTTATTGTGTTAGTAGTTGTTTTTATGAAAAAAAGGAAGGAGGAGAGATGTTGGGCGTATCAGTTCGGCAGTTCTCGGAGAGCCTTGGGTAGGCTGAGGATAGGGGATACGCAGGAGTGGAAGTTGTAAATGGACGGCGGAGATTAGGTGAATAAATAATTGTAGCATTCTTATATATGATTTCTCTGGTGTCTTATATGTCGTGCACGGTCGAGAACTACACAATGGCGTCCAAGGGAAGGGGATATAGTCCGTATTGTTGACATATCAATACGCCTAGGAGGATCATATTGTATCGTATATGAGTATGACAACCAAGTAGTATAGCACGTAGTTCTTATTATGGGTATATAATACTAAATCTCCCTTTTCACAAAAATGATTGATCTCTATCAGTTAACAATGACACACATTTCAGGATGATGCAATTCCTTTAAGACATTGAATTACATTATGTGATCAGTTCAATTCAACAGTCTCAGAAAGGTATTCAGTATGGTAAACATAGTATGGATATCTTACGGTGGAATCTAGTGTAAATGCAGTGGTCTGTAAAGGACAAACGGGAAATTAATAAAGTGATTGACCGGCTGAAACCCACAATGTAATTTCCTCAACTTTATTTCGGCAGACACCGCCTCCCGGTCATCTATGCATGCGCGAGCATTTCCATGCGCTGCTACCCTCTAACGTCCTTTAAAGAAATCGTCCTGATCGATTTTAGGCCTCCAATCCACTTCGCCACACTCCCTACATTTAAGAATGTCGTTCGCGACGTGTCCCCAAGTAGATAAGTTGTAAACAATGGGTTAATGCCCCACTTACTCCCGGCAAGTGCTACATCTGAGACATGGTCAATTTTAATCCCCCGTTTCCGAATGGGTCACACTCCCCCCATACAACAGATGTCAACCCCTACATCCAACCATGTTCACTTTTGTCTTGCCCCACACGACCTAAAAGTACAACCCCATCTTCATCAATGAGCCTCCACCAATCATCACAACACGGTACTACATTATTTCCGCAAGGAATGGTAATCGAAGCTTGTAAAATAGGACACAATATCTAACCACCAGAAGACACCTGCAACGTCTCTGTACAACACTCGGACAACTGGTTGGCCAAACTAGAAGTCAAGAGCCATAATGGCCATTGTAAAGTAAGCTTCAACCACCTTGTCTTAATGGACAAAAATAAATGTGCTCACTACCAGGATCCTCCATGCGGAGGACAAGGGACTAGCCAGAATCTGGACCTCTGGAAATCTGGAAATCTGAGTTATTTTTTTTAGGGCCAGGCCGAATGAGCTTTCTTCACATTGGGTCCCATCTTAGGACTTACTGTCCCCGTAACCTGATAGATGAAAGGTTTCCCAATCGGTCGTATTCTAGGGTCCTAGGTGCTCTTCTGATCCTTCCTGGTCGAGGGTCTGTGGTTGTGTCGCCACTATCACTGCTGGCCATGTTGTCTTTTACTGTGGAGTCTGGAGGTATCTCCACTAATCGTTCTCCCCCTAACTCTGTGTTGATCTGCACTCCAGTGTCTTCACTCCCCTGGTGTACAAACGGTGCATGCTCAGGATCCAACCTTGGATCACACTCTATCTCTGGCGTCCCTTCACGCTCCTAGTTTAGAAAAGTCCCCATAATCACCTCTCCTGTGTCCGATGAATTCGAGGGTTTGCACAGACTGATTTGAGCAGCTGTTCTCCTACCGTCTCGAGCTCGTCGGGTCAACAGTCACTTCTTTGGCTGTCTAGTCTCTATCTGTTTGACTTCATTTTCCACTGGCAAATGCATACATTGGCATAATAGAATTCTCGGTGAAGTACCCTCAGTTTACCAGATCCATCTTCCGCTTGAACTGCGTACACTGGGGAGTCTGCTCCGAGCTTAAACTTTACCACATGGATCGCCCGTTCCCAAAATGACCTAATCTTACCCCCCCCCCCTTTTGACAGGTTTCTTACCAATACTCGATCGCCAGGCTGGAGGATTGCACTTTTGACTTTCCGATCATGTCGCCCCTTTGTCATAGTGGATTTCTTGGCTGCATTCTCACTAGCGATATGATAGGCTCCACGCATCCGTTCAATCCATTTCGAAATACCTCCCTGATTTTCTGGTTTAATTCCAAACAAAACATCCACTGGTAGCCTTGGCGGTCGTCCTCCGAATAACAAGTAGTGTGGGGAATACAGTGGATTCAAGCTGACAGCAATTGTAGGCATGAACCATATGGTTCAGATGACTCCTCCAGTCTTTCTTCTGTTGCTGGGTCAGTGCACGGAGCATTCCAAGGATCGTCCAATTGAATCTTTCCACTTTACCATTCCCAGCCGGGTGATATGGAGTGTTCTGGGCATGATTGATTCCAAACTTCTTTTCCAATTGCTTGAACAAGTCATTCTCGAATTCCTGACCCTGGTCGTGATGGAGTCGTCGCAGAAAGCCAAATCGTGGAATGTATTCGTTAAACAGCTTGACTGCCGCGGTCCTGGACGACTTGTTCTTCATGGCATAAGCTTGGGTATATCGGGTGTAGTGGTCCACGATAACCAGGATGTATTCACAACCTCCCTTAGATTTTTCCAGATGTAGATAGTCTATGGAGATCAGTTCGAACAGGTTAGTCGCCTGTACGGGCGCCATCTTGGCTCTGGGTGGCACTGCTGGTCTTTTGTCATTGATACATGGACATTCCTTTGTCAAAAAGTGCGTTATATCCCTCATCATTCCCGGCCAGTGAAACCGTTCCTTTGCTAGTGAAACGACTGTCTAGCCCCTGGTGGCCCATCTTCTGATGCAACTCATCAAAAACCATGTGCTTATAACCCCTCGGCAAACAAATCTGGTTGATTCCTGACCCATTTGGCAGTGTACGTGACCGTCTCAAGATTTTGTCTTCACCTATCCCGAGCCGATTGCAATCCCTAGTCCAGATTTTTCCACAGTAGATCTCCTGTTTTGATGGTCTTCAACGAAGGCTTCCTCCTGATGCTTACCTATTCCTTGACTTTACCAAAGACTGGGTCCACATCCTGCGAACGCGTGCTATTCTCGGTGCCCAGACGTACCATTGTCCCCGTTCCAGGTTCGTCTTCCCTACTGGTTCCGTCTTAATCAAGGGATACCCAGTTTATCTGGATGTCCCCGTCTTCAGATTGTAACCCTACCCATTCTGCCAGAGCACGAAAAACAGCCTTCTCCACCGTTTCTGTGAATTCCTCCATGTACTGGTGCATCAGCTCAAGGGGCATCCTACTGAGTGCATCTGTGGCTTGGTTCGATCTACCTGGGTTGTAGTGGATTTTGGTAATGGGGAAGTCGGCCAGCTCGGCTACCCATCTCTGGCGCGTGGCATCTAGTTTGGCAGTGGTGAGCACGTAGGTTAACGGGTTATTATCCGTGAAAATCTTTATTCATGGGGTGTAGTAGACAAAATCTTTAAACCTCTCAGTCGGGGCTCATTTTAACGCCAGAAATACCATTTTCGTAGAGTGATAATTCCTCTCCGCGGGACTCAATGACCTGGATCCAAAAGCAATGACCCCCCCCAATTACCCATTGTCCTGTTCCTGGTATAAAATCACTCCCAGTTCCACATGCGAGGCATCTGTGTGAACTATGAAACGTTTCTGGAAATCTGGAAAGGCCATTACCCTGGGTTTTAAAATCTCATCGATTAGTTCCTCGAGGACTTCTTGGTGCTGAGACGTCCACTGGATAGGATGCCGTTTTGGCAGTTGTCCATGGCTCTTCGTCTTGGATTTTCCACTCTTCTGTTTCTTTCCACCTGAGACTTCATCTGGTGACTTCCACAAATCATACAGGATTCTACAACGACCAGAGAAATTAGGGACATACTTCCTGAAGTAGCCAATGAGGCCTAACATATGCCGTACATTCCCGTTGTTGTTAGAGTCCTTTTCATTCAGACAGGTGATTTCAGCTGTATCGGTGGGGTCCCGGCGACATCCCTCACTGGAGATCAAGTTTTTTTAGGAATCTTACTTCTCAACGAAAAAGTGACATCTTACTGCCCTTGAGTTTTATCCCCTTCTCTTGAAACCGCCCTAATACCTTCCTCACAGCTTCTACATGGGATTCAAAAGTTGGACTAAAAGCATAAAACATCGTCCAGGTAATTAAGGGACAGCCCACTCGTCTCTTGGACCCACCAGCGTCTGTTCCATGAACTCCCGGAAGGCTCCTGGTGCAGAGGATAAGCCGAACAGAACGCGGACCAACTCAGAGCTGCCTGCATAAATTAACCCTGTTATATATATTTGTCTACCAACCGAATGAACTTATTTAATGAGTTCTCCTTTATATAGTTCTTGAAGGACTCCTTCATGTGTCCTAACATTCTCAGTAAACCCATGGCTTCACCCAGTCCGTACTAACCAAACTAACCTGGGCACTGGTGTCCCATAAAACATGGTGTTCTACCCCATTCATACAAACACTCACAACACATTTTCCCCCACTAGTTTCACCAGTTTCTGTCGCGATTTCGCAGTTAATTCATGCACAGTTCACCTAAGTTCATCCACAACTAGCGTCCTCGTGCGCTGCTCCTCCAGACCATTCCTGACGGCCTGAATATTCTTACACGGCGTCCCATGCTTGGCCCAATGCATTTTTTGGCACTGGGTCGAACAGTAAGTCACAGCGTGACAGCCCGTGCAAACCTTTGCCGATTCTGGTAATGCTTTCCGATATTGAAAGTAGTGTGGTAGAGTGTTATTCCCAGGTGTCTCTTCAGTTGAGACAGGAGTCACTGCTGCCCCACTATCAGTGACTTATTCGTTTCCCAATGTCAATCCATGCTTGGAGCTAGGACACTCGAGTTTCCTGTGACCTGAGCCCCGCAGAAGAAACAATTTGTACACATGGGGGCATCCGAGTTTCTGCACGTGCCACACATCCACCGAGTCCGTTTGGCCTTGTGGTTTGAGTCGGGGACTGCTGGCTGTGCCGGTTGTAGGTTCTGCTGTTTTAAACCCTGAACCTCGAGTCGGAGGGCTTTAAGCTCTTCGAGTACAGAGCACGTCTCTGCCTCTGCTGCCTTGATCTCAATACGCTTGGTCGCGGCCAGCTTCCCCCCGGTCTCAGCATGACGCCGTGTGATCTCGCTTATCGCGTCCATCAACTGCTGATCCTCCGAGTATCCGACGATAAGTCCCTGTAGTTCAACTCGGATAAGCCCGTTGCGGAGTCCTGTACAAACCGTGTTCTTAAGCTGACTCGACTAGTCTTGTGTCGTGTGCCGTGGTAGTCTTCTCTTTTGAAACAAAGATGATATTTTGCTTCAACGATAATACTCGGTATAGAAAGTGCTGTAGTGACTCATTTGGGTTCTGTATAGCAGAGCAAAGTTCTTGATAGAGCTCGGTGACCGACTTCTCCTGGTAGTGAATATTATGAATAAGTGCCTGGGACTTCGCGAGAGTAAGGTCATCGAGCCCCTCCAAGTACTCTCTTAGCCGTAAACTAGAGTCCACCCTCCCGTCCGAATGATGCCATCCAGGATGTCTGTGTATGTGAATCCTCGGCTACAGTCGGCCTCCACCTGGCGCAAGAAACTTAAGTAACTTAAGCAATTTAACTTATCACCAATGTTGTTGGACAGTTTAAAAGTTTTAGTGTGCACGCACACGGATTTAGCTGTCGGCACCGGGGATGGCACTACAGCTGGTTTCGGTGCCACGGGTGGTTTGGCCTCCCGTGGCCCCGTTTCCGCGACCTTAGACTGGTCCTCTTCTTCCGGGGTCGGGGTCATTAACGATACTGTTAGGGTTACGGACGGGTAACACTATAAAGGGCATTGCAACATAACTGCTCATCAAATTCAATCAAACTCATATCCATTATAATAGATAATAATACATACATACATACATACATACATACATACATACATACATACATACATACATACATACATACATACATACATACATACATACATACATAGTATGTACTTGTATGTATGATTATGGGTATGTATGTATGTATGTATGTATGGTACTGATATGTATCTATGTATGTACTGTATGTATGTATGTTATGTATGTATGTATGTATGTATGTATGTATGTATGTATTGTATGTTATGTATGTATGTATGTATGTTATGTATGTCATGTATGTATGATGTGTATTATTGTATGTATTATTGTAGTGTATGGTACTGTAATGTAGTTCGTATGTATGTATGTATGTATGTATGTAATGTATGTATGTATGTATGTAGTATGTATGTATGCTATGTATTGTATGTGTATGTATGTATGTATGATGTATGTATGTATGTATGTATGTATGTTATGGTAGTGTATGGATGTATGTATGTATGTATGTATGTATGTATGTTGTATGTATGTACTGTATGTATGTATGTAATTGAGTAGTATGTACATGTATTGTATGTATGGTATGGTATGTATGTATGTATGTATGTTATGTATTATTATGCTATGTATGTATGTTATGTATGTATGTATGTATGTATGTATGTATGTATGTATGTATGTTATGTAATGTTTATGTTGATGTTGTATGTATGTATGTATGTAGTAGTTGTATGTATGAATGTATGTAAGTATGTAGGTTATGTATGATGTATGTATGTATGTATGTATGTATGTATGTATGTATGATACTTGTATGTATGTATGTTATGTATGTATGTATTATGTATTGTATGTAATGTGATGTATAGTATTGTATGTATGTATGTTATGTATGTATGTATGGATTGTGATGTATGTATGTATGTATGTATGTATGTATGTATGATATGATGGTATGTATGTATGTATGTATGTATGTATGTATGTTATGTTATGTATCGTATGTATGTATGTTGTATATGTATGATGTACTGATGTATGTATTGTGTATGTATGTATGTATGTAAATGTATGTATGTATGTATGTATGTATGTATGTATGATATGGTATGTATGTATGTATGTACTGTATGTATGTATGTATGTATGATATGTATGTAATGTATGTATGTATGTATGTATTGTATGTATGTATGTATTAGTATGCTATGCTATGTATGTATGCTATTGTATGTTTATGTATGTATTTTGTATGTATAGTATGTATGTATGTATGTAGTGTGAGGTGTATGTATGTATGTATGTATGTATGTATGTAATGTATGTTATGTTATGTATGTATGTTATGTATGTACTGTATGTAATGTCATGTATGTATGTATGTTATGTGCATGTTATGTATGTATGTATGTATGTATGGTATGTATGTATGTATGTATGTACTGTATGTATTGTATGTATGCTATGTATGTATGTATGTATGTATTGTATGTATGTATGTACTGTATGTTATGTATGTATGTATGTTATGTATGTATGTATGTAGTATGTATGTACTGTATGATAGTGTATGTATGTTATGTATGTATGTATGTATGGTATGTATGTAGCTGTATGATATGTATGTATGTATGTATGATATGTATGTATGATATTGTATGTATGTATGTATGTATGTATTTATGTAATGTATTGTATGTATGTATGTATGTATGTAATGTATGTATGTTGTATGTATGTATGTATGTCATGTATGTATGTAGTATGCTATGTATGTATGTATGTATGTATGTA